AAATAGGCAACACAGAAAGCAACACAACATTAAAAACTCTTACCAATAAATCAATTTCGCAAAGGCAGTCTCCATCGCATCTCTTTGAGCCATCTTCAGATCATATTTGGGACGTCGGCAGACCTTCCGCCAATACGTCAACGCGTGAAATTGACACAGAAGTATCTTAGCGTTCGGGAAAGCTTTCTCAAGAACCCGCCATTCGACAAAGTCCTTATCGATGACGACACTTTGAACACTGCGCCAAGTTGGGTTTTTCCGCTTGAAAAATTCGATGATGTACTTCATCGTAGCTGCCTTCTGATCAAGAGCAAGGAAATCAATAACTGGAATTCCTCTTCCCGTTGCTGATGTTGCAACAAGACTGCCTATAGAACGGTGACACATTTAGTTAATTTTTTAATGTTATTCTCATCAGAACTACAAACAACTGAATTGGACATACCTAAATGGTACCCCACATTGTTGGTTCCATGTGTCCAGTCCATGACCAAGCTGTCTCCCCAGGTCTCGAAGCATGTCTTCTGAATTGACGATTGCATCGCAATGATACAAGTAATATCAAGCTGATCCTGGACGAGAAGTACATCATTACCACTATCCTCGTCGGCAAAAGTGCCCAGGATAACCTTGGATCTCTCAGTACTCGACTCGCCGAGCACTTGTCGCACAAGATTTCTTGTCAGCTGAGGCGTTAGCACCATATCTGTATCCGAAATCATATCAAAATTATCATTAAATTGAAAAAATACGTCAGCATAAATATACAACTGCAAGTGGCCTAATAGTAGCACCCACCTAGCTTGTCCGACAAGTATCGATTAATGTCAGCCGTGCGCGTCTTCATCTCGGTCAAAAGACCAAGTTCTTGGCGGACTTGCGGGGTGAGTGGCATTGACTTCGCCCCACGATACGAGTCGTATATTGTTTTATTGGTCTTGTGGTTGTGTAGCGATATCTGTGAATCACTAAGATATTAATATCTCTTTCTAACAGGGTACTTAAACAGAGACTCACCTCCGTTCCTGGTGCAACGATCACTTGCCATGTGGCTTGACCATCCACGACGACACGCTCAGAGCGAACGAGGAAACCTGCTTCACAACCGGTAAAGCGTAAATCGTAGTCACGGCGGCCTTTGCCGCGGGATTCTTGTGACGATCCGTGAGTGCACCACATCCGCTTAAACTGTGCGTCATCTTTAATGGAAGCTGTGTAATTCCATGTCGGCTACAAAATCATACACCCATACATAATGTAAGAAAACACAAATATAATCAAACAATGAGTTCATGTACCTGTTGTACTTGGCCCGGGTTTCCGAGCTTCTAACCCGGTAACACAAGTAGTTCTTCGCCGCGTAATCCGCCAGTATGTCATTGAACTCACTCCAGTCTTTAAATGCTTTCTTCGGGAGCTCCGGCACAGAATCTGTCACTGATGTGTGGGATTTCTTCATGGTTTCCCGAATTTGCCAAGTTTTCGTTCGACGTGTAGGCTTGCGAGCTGTGTGGACTTGCGCAATTGGCTTGGGAACGGGATCTGTGCTTTTACAAGTCTTCTTAGCTGTCGGGTCTGTACTCATTTCTGGCTCGTCGATCTGGGAATGAACCCGTTTTTTTGTGTGCTTTCTTTTAGATCCCGAGCCTTTAACAATAAAGCAAAAATATTTGTAGCAACATATGAAGCAACACATAAGCAACATAGTCAGCAACATAACCAACAACATACGCAGCAACTTAACAAGCAACACAAATGTAGACGTACGCAAAGTGAGTTCCTGATTGGTTTCATTGAGGTTGACTTTGTGTAGTACGGTCCCGCCGGCGTCACGAATCGCAGTATTGGCATCCGCTGTGCCATTTTCGACAGTGATTTCCGTGGCACCATCGATTGCCTTGATGTGCCCCTGTCCAGATACCGGCTTCATGTCGTCTTCAGCAGCTGTATGACTGCTCGCAACCTCTTTCTCGGCCTCCTCTCGCGCAGCTTTCTCGGCCTCCTCTCGAGCAGCTTTCTCGGCCTCCTCTCGCGCAGCTTTCTCGGCCTCCTCTCGAGCAGCTTGCACAAAGCGTAGAATGGATGCCTCAAAACCTAGTAATTTAAACAGTGACAATTAGTATTTTCAGGTAACGTAACTGACTTGGCGTACCCGTCACATGTTGTTCGCCATCGCACTTCCTTTTGTCGTCGAAGTCCTCTCCATCGTTGACTTCCTTGGCATTGTCCGTATTGTCTTTGAGCCTGTCGATGCTGGTGTCTGCGTGACGTCCTTGATCGACGGTTTGAATAGTACTGGGGATATCTTCGAGATCATCGTCCCGTCCGTCGGCAGGATCGCGCTCCGGGTTATAATCCTCATCATTGTCATCGTCCACTGCAAAGCCTTGGACAGCAAACACGTAGTCGATGGGCTTACGCTCGCGTAGGGTAGCATTTGGCGCTTGTGTGCTCGTGTCGAACGGCCCAGAGGATGCATCTTGCGCTTAATGCAACGCAAAAACAAAAGAAACAAAGCGGGTAAGCAGACACGATACACTACGTCACATGGCAACAGCTTACCCGACGTGTTCTGCCCGGGCGCGCTTGCAGGCTTGGTTATCATTGGTCCAGGAGAAGAGTGCGTAGCTGCATCAGCAGCTAAACGTGACATCAGCGTTGTGTTGGTAAATCGATTTAGAAACTTAATACAAACGCGACTTACCAGGTGCGTCGATTCTCAGCGAGCTCGCGTGTGGTGGCTTCGACGGTCTCCCCTTCTTCTTCGTCACGTCCTTCCCTCCCTTAGCTCTCGTCGCTGAGCTTAAGGGGCGCGCGTTTGCCTGCCAACCCTTCTTCGCTGGTGTCATACTTGCTGGAGGCTGGTTTCTCGTGTCTGTATTCAAAATACAAAAATGGGAGGCTGGAAATGATTTGGGGGGATCGTACTTAAGTGCGAAAACTGGATCTTGCGAATTCTCAATTTAGTCGGAAATTTTCACAGTAAAGAAAACGTAGATAAATTACGTAGCAACACAACACTCGATTGTGTTGCTCTCAACCTGATGTCGTGACGTTGTAGCTGTGTTGTAGGAACGACTCCGCATCCAAAAGATTTGTCCCCACCAAAATGGCCCTTTTAAATACTGTGCAGGGACTCCCTGCACTGTCCCCACCGAAATGGCCCTTTTAAATACTGTGCAGGGACTCCCTGCACTGTGTCTCCCTGAGGGAGACACTCTCCTGTGCCAACCTGCTCCTCATTTTCAAATTGGCTTTCGAAGATAACCAACAATGCGTCTGTATCACGTTCTGCTCGCCACGGCTGCTGCGCTCCTCGCCAGCAATAACGGCTTCGCCATTGCTGATGAGAAGTGCACCATTGTCACTAAGGCACCGAAAGCTACCCCCGTTGGTTCGTCTTCGTACACTTCCAGCGGCTCATCCGCCGACACCCCAGCGACCCAGGACTCTACTGCCGCCTCGGATGTAGGTGCAAGTCAGGAGACTACCGTCGATGTCCCAGTGCAGCAGTACTCCAACCCTGGTTCGGACGTCGGCGCCAGCGAGGCTTCGACCTCAGACGCCGACGAAACCGAGCAGACGGATTCTAGTTCGTACACTCCGTCCAGTGTTGACGCTTCACAAAACATGGACACTGTGTCCTCCGCCGAGACTACCGGAGACGCTGACCAGTCCTTGACTTTCACGGAGGTGCCGAAGGCCACCACCCTTACCCCCACGGTCGCCTCGAGCGCCAGCGCCAGTGGATCCAGCGCCGGTTCGCCCCCTACCACTTCCAACAACTCCACCACGCCGTCGACCTCGACTACTCCTGGCGAGAACTCTAAGCTGTGCGCCAAGCCGCGCATCGAAATCACGGAAGTGACCGTGGATGCCTCTGTTGATGCCAACGAGGATGAGGCCGCTCTCAAGCTCGTGGCCATCGCCGCTATCCCAGGTGGCGGCTCGCGCGTTGCCTACCACAGTGGCGAAAATGTCATCGTGCAGGAGCTGGACGCTAGCGACAAGCTCGTGAGCGGCAGCACTGCCAAGGTCCCGGTCCACGACTTCGCCGATATCTATGCCGACAAGGATGGGTTCGTCATCCTCGGCACGAGAGACGCCGAGGGCGGCGGTACCCTCAACTGTGGTAACCCGAGCAACCTGTGTGGTTCGGCTCCTAGTCCGGCCGTTCCGTGCTACGACATGTACATGATCCGCTATGACGGCACGAAGGAGTCGTGGGCTACGAAGCTGACGTCTTCGAGTGCATCGCTGCCTCCCTACTCGTCGGGCAAGACTGGCCCTGACGTCTACATGATCTGGTGGTACGCTCACCACGGCCGTATCGCGTCCGACGGCAAGAACTGGGCCGCGTACTTTCGGTGCCGCCATCTCCACGTCGGAGGGTGGCTGCATCAACATTCACCAGGGTGACCGCATGAAGGTGGTTGACGCTAGCGGTAAAGATCACGCCGGACGAGGACTCGTTTGACTGGGGGTTGCTCGCACTCGGCTTACGAGCGTATCACGTACGACAACCGCACGGACAGCTACGCGACTATCTGTAAGACGGACAGCAACAACCGTATCATGCCGCCTAAGGACTGGGGCACAACGATCTACCCGGTTGACCTGGGTGCTGCCAACTTGGGCGACATCGTGCCGGACTCGGACGCTTCCAGCAAGAAATACTGGGCTACGGTTAGCAACGGCAACGGCGACAACGCCAAGGTGCACCTGATCCACTTCGCCATGAACGCGGCTGCCAGCGAGGACATCACTCTGGGCGGCACGGACGCCAACGAACGTGCGCCTCACCTCGCGCAGATCGGCAGCGGCGGCATGCTGGCTGTGTGGGAGGGCAGCTCGTCGGGTGGCGACTTCATGGAGGGCGGTGACCGCACGATGTACGCGCAGGTGCTGGACGCTTCGTCGGGTAAGGCCATCAGCGACAAGGTGACAGTGGACAAGTCCGTGGTGGGCAACCGCTACCAGGCTCTGAAGACGTACCCGGACGGCAGTGTTGCATACCTGTCGAAGGGCAAGACGGACTCCTCGCTGCAGGTGGTGCGTTTCTACGGCTGCTAAGTGTGATGTACAAAAGGTTAGACATGTGAGCGTATAGTGTCTGTTGGGTGTGAAGTCGAAAATGCAAATGCATCTGATGAAAAGTCACATGGTAATCTCGCTTACACGTTTCGCTCTGGTCGAGCAGCAAGTGAATTCCAACGCTCCACAACAAGCAGAACACTATTCACTTCTTTCACAATAGCGTCTGCAGCAGCATAGCGCTCTGCGTCTTCATTGCTTAAGTCCGTTCGAGTCAATGCATCTGGCTTCGCCCATGAGGCATTCACCCAGATCGTCCTCAATCCGGCGCGTTTGGCTCCTTCCACATCGCATTTGTAGTGATCGCCGACATGCACGAGGTGCTGGCGACTGTAGGAAGCCGGGAATTTAGCCACCGCCGCGTCAAAGATCGCCTGTCCAGGTTTGGCAGAGCCCACGAGCTCCGCAGAGATCATAAAGTGCATATGGTGCTGGAAATACTTTGGTAAATTGTCCATTTCACAGTTTCCATTGGTGATAACCCCCAGAACCGGCGACGCAACGTCGATCATACCGTTTGACCGCTTGATCTCCAGCTCCAAGCTGTGGAACAGGCTCTCCACGCCGCTGAACGGCTCCGGTTGGCTACGCGGCAATAGAAAAGATAGGAACGCGGCGTCCACAAACGCCTCAAGCGCTACTTGATCGTGTAGATTCAATTCATGAGCACCACACACTTCCACGCAGTGACGCAGCGTGTACTTGCGAAGGAATGTGTAGTCGTGCGCATGGTCCGGCAGCGCGCGCTGGAATTGGACGAGCAACTCGTCAAAAGCCGCTGGAGGAAACCTGTCTGCTAGCTGAGGCGTCGCCTGCGCCAGATATGAGTGGAAGGCGGCGCTGGCCTTGCGGATTACAGTCTTACCACACCACAGCGTGTCGTCCAGGTCGAAGGTCACGCCGCGCACGGCAACAGCGGCCGGTTCCGCCACCATTTTCCTCTTTAGCTGTTTCAAATCTGAGATTGCTCAGAATCTGTCCAATGCTCGAATAAGTATCCAAATGGCTTCAGATAAGTAAACAGGAAGTGAAAGTTGTATTTTTTATGATTCTGTTAGTTGCTGGTCTATTATGTAAGAATGGCGTCGAAGTCGATGTTGCTGGCGTAGTGTTCGCCACACGCATGCACCTTGTGTTCGTCGGTCGGGTTGAATTTTGCTGTACGTACACAGAACACAAATGTGAGTCTGTTGATTTTGTAAAAGAATAAAAAAATATCTTACCGGTGAAATGCGTTATCTTTTCCATGGCCTCGAACGTCGTCATGGGCACATAGAGAACTGGAACTTGTGCGTTCTTAATGATATTCGTGATGTATTCCTGTTGGTTGTCATCGGACGGGGAGCCAGTAAGTATGAGTCCACCCCCGTACGGCTTTTTCATTGTGAGTTCGAAGTTCTGCGCGTGTGAGAGGAAGCCCAAGATGATGTCGTTCCGGGACACGTGAGTGACGAAGAGCGTATGGTCGAACGCAGGTTCGCTCAACTTTGCCAAAAAACGCCTAAGTCCAGCCGTCACGAGTGTAGTTTTGTTATATTGCTGATAGCGTCGTGAGCTCAACGTCAGCATTTGCGTATTGAAGAGTCCTTCGAAGTCCAGCATGCTCGGATTCGACAGCAAAGGCAAGTTCGGCACGACGCCAATCAACGGCACGTTACTTCCCCAGTGTTTCATGGCTTTAGGGAAATATTCTCGCACCATTTCCACTCGGTCTTCTCGTACTTTGTTCAAAATAACGCCGCGAACCCTCACGTTGTGCGTTTTGCACATGGAATAATTAAGCGCCAGGTCGTCGAAGGCCGAGCCCAGTCCGCCATTGGCTACTAGCACCATGTCCACGCCCAACTCGGCAGCTATCCGAGCATTGTTACAGTCTACGATGGAGCCGACTCCCGTGTGTCCTGTGCCTTCCACTACAGTGAACTGCAAAGTAGATATTAGTCGGGAAACTCGACGTTGGCAATTCCTAGACTGTATCTACCTCGTTAGCTTCCGTAATGCGCTTGAAGCTTGTCCGAATTTTGTCCAGTTGGCTCTCTACTGTTATATGTCCATCTAGGAAGCGCTTAGTGTATCCCGGCATGATCACCACGGGCGACATGTCCGCGTAGTTGCATGTATCGAGCTTGAACACCTCTGCATTAAAAAAAGGAAACGTTACATGTTACAATCATTTCGTTACTGTCTTTTTACGAAAAAGAGGTATAATCAGGTATTGCGTAGCGCAAATTAATAGCAGCATACCTTTTGCCACCGCGACATCTTTATCCACACGCAGGGAACCGCCCTCGACGGCGACGCTCTCCTGCCCCACGGGCTTGAGGAAGCCAATGCGGTCCAGACGAGCGGTCAGTCCTTGTAGCAATCCCAGACACGTGCTAGTCTTGCCCACATGCTGCCGTGTCGCTGCCACATACACCGCCTTGGGCTGAACACGGACTGCCACTGGCATCAAGCGCGACTTTTGTAAAATGAGGCAAAATAAATTTTAAGTGTTGCAACTTCAACAGGTGTCTATCTGCCACAAGAGTTTGTTGCACGTTAAACCCGACGTGGGACCAAATTCCGTCAAGAAAACATTTTTTAACCAGACATCTATACATTCAAAGTTGTATATCGGATTCCGTTCTCCGATTTTCTTAGCACCCGAAGAAGCGAACCACCTGCAGCGAGCTGCCGGTCTTACCCTTCGACAGGTATGCCACACTGCCATCCGGGTACGTCTTCAATGCCTGGTAGCGGTTGCCCACCACGGACTTGTCCACCGTCACCTTGTCGCTGATGGCCTTACCCGACGAAGCGTCCAGCACCTGCGCATACATCGTGCGGTCACCGCCCTCCATGAAGTCGCCGCCCGACGAGCTGCCCTCCCACACAGCCAGCATGCCGCCGCTGCCGATCTGCGCGAGGTGAGGCGCACGCTCGTTGGCGTCCGTGCCGCCCAGAGTGATATCCTCGCTGGCAGCCGCGTTCATGGCAAAGTGAATCAGGTGCACCTTGGCGTTGTCGCCGTTGCCGTTGCTAACCGTAGCCCAGTATTTCTTGCTGGAAGCGTCCGAGTCCGGCACGATGTCGCCCAAGTTGGCAGCACCCAGGTCAACCGGGTAGATCGTTGTGCCCCAGTCCTTAGGCGGCATGATACGGTTGTTGCTGTCCGTCTTACAGATAGTCGCGTAGCTGTCCGTGCGGTTGTCGTACGTGATACGCTCGTAAGCCGAGTGCGAGCAACCCCAGTCGAACGAGTCCTCGTCCGCCGTGATCTTACCGGTAGCGTCAACCACCTTCATGCGGTCACCCTGGTGAATGTTGATGCAGCCACCCTCCGACGTGGAGATGGCGGCACCGAAGTACGCGGCCCAGTTCTTGCCGTCGAACGCGATACGGCCGTGGTGAGCGTACCACCAGATCATGTACACGTCAGGGCCAGTCTTGCCCGACGAGTAGGGAGGCAGCGATGCACTCGAAGACGTCAGCTTCGTAGCCCACGACTCCTTCGTGCCGTCATAGCGGATCATGTACATGTCGTAGCACGGAACGGCCGGACTAGGAGCCGAACCGCACAGGTTGCTCGGGTTACCACAGTTGAGGGTACCGCCGCCCTCGGCGTCTCTCGTGCCGAGGATGACAAAGCCGTTCTTGTCGGCGTGGATGTCGGCGAAGTCGTGAAGCGGCACCTTGACGGCGGGGCTGCTGGTCACGAGTTTGTCGTTAGCATCAAGCTCACGGACAATGATACTGTCGCCGCTCTGGAAAGCGACGCGCGAGCCGCCACCCGGTATAGCGGCAATAGCCACAAGCTTGAGAGCGGCCTCGTCCTCATTGGCCTCAATAGCGGCACCAACATCGACATCCGTGATCTGGATACGCGGCTTAGCGCACAGCTTGGAGTTGTCAGCCGAAGTAGTCGAAGTCGACTGCACGCTCGAGTTGTCTGAGCTCGATCCACTGGAGCTGGAGCTAGCGGCCGTAGGAGCAGCAGTGGTAGCCGAAGGGGCCTCAGTAGTCTGGAAGTTGATGTCAGACTCACCGGCCACGTCGGTTTTCTGAGAGGCATCGTCGTCAGACGGACCGGCAGGAATAACCACACCCTGCTTGATGTCGTCGGCGTTCGAAGCGGATGCTGACGCCGAGGCTGAGGCCTGGCTGGCATCAACAGCAGAGTTCGTGGTGGAGTCCTGCGCCACAGGGGCATCCGTCGTGGGTCCCTGGCTGCCAGACGCAGTGGCGGAGTCCTGCTGGATCGGAGAGTCCTGCTGAATGGGAGACTCCGGGGTCGTTTCCTGGCTGGCACCAACATCCGAGCCCTGGGTCACAGGTGCATCCGTAGCGGAGCCCTGACTGGCACCGCTGTCAGGGAGGTCTGGTGTGGGAATATCGTAGCCTCGGATGAAAGAGGAGTCGCTCGGTTCAGGTCCCTGCTGAATCGGGGAGTCCGGCGTCGTCTCCTGACTGGAACCGACGTCTGATCCCGGAATCACGGGGGAATCGGTAGTCTGGCCGTAGTCAGGGAAGTTAACGGTGGGGCCGCTGTTGCTGCTGGTGAAAGAGGAGTCGGTTGGCGCGGAGCCCTTCTGGATCGGGGACTCCGGGGTCGTCTCTTGGCTGGCACCAACATCCGAACTGGTCTGCTGGATCGGGGCGTCATTGGACGAATCGAAGCCGTCAAATGAATCCTTCGGCGAAGAGCCGCTTGCCGAGGACACCTCCTGGCTAGAAGCGACATCCGAGCCATGGGTCACAGGGGCGTCCGTAGTCTGGCCGTAGTCAGGGAAGTCAACAGTGGGGCCACTGTTACTACTCGTGAAAGAGGAGTCGGTCGGCGCGGAGCCCTGCTGGATCGGGGATTCCGGGGTCGTCTCTTGGCTGGAGCCAACATCCGAACTGGTCTGCTGGATGGGCGAGTCATTGGACGAGTCGAAGCCGTCGAACGAGTCCTTCGGCGAAGAGCCGCTGGCCGAGGACACCTCCTGGCTAGCACCAACGTCGGAGCTGGTAGTGGAGCCCTGCTGGATGGGAGAGTCGTTGGACGAATCGAACCCGTCGAACGAGTCCTTGGGTGCAGATCCACTGGCGGATTCGACAATCTCGGGGGTCATTGCGCAGTCAGTTGAGCCAGCGGAAACGTTGCTGGCGAGCAGCGCAACCGCGGTCACGAGCAGAGCGTGATACAGACGCATGGTTTCTTGTTGGTCTGGAAGCCGCTGGACTGTGGCTGGAGAAGGCCAATTGGATAATGAAAACGAAGTGGACGAACAAGTTTTTCATTCGAACATCCACTTCACTAAAGCTCACTGTTGCTGCCCTCCGTCTGCTGTTTGCACGGGTTGACGAGCTCCAGCTGCTCTGTTGCCTTGCGGTATTGCCGTCCACAGCGCCGGTTTCCATTGCAGCATCTGTCCTCCAGAAATGTCACGACACAGGACATGCACACAGGCGTAGGGACACATTGCACTGTCAAACGCCAATACACTTCGTATTCGATTTACTCTCTGGTCGTTATGTTGCGATCAAGAAGGGCCAAGGCGGAACTCGAGCCGCATTGCGATTTGACGTGAGTCAACAGCCGTGCTGACAAAACGCCGCTGCGTCGGATCGAAAGACCGCGGTGACTGGTCTCACCATGTTTCATTGCGTCTATGTAGCTCAGATCAACTGGAGCCGTCAAGTTTCTTGCTGTTTGTGGTTTTGACAGTGACAGCTGGGCTCTGCGGTCACAGACGGATTGACAGCTACATGTAACACAATGTGCGACCCGATGGATCCGACGAAATTACAGCACGAAATCGTGCAGCAGACTCGATCCATTGCTTCGTACAACAGTGAAGCTCACCTTAAATTCATGATGCATGTACTCTTTGCACCGTCAGTGTCACTGCGATCGCACGACACCTTGCTCGCATGGACCTCAATGTTTCAATCCTATCGGACGCTTTTGTGTTACATGTATAATTATTACTCGCAAAGGTTTTGCTACATGCACATGTAGAGCGAAGACCTCTTGTATTGTATTGTGAGCCTTCGCGGGACATGTAAATTGCAATGTGAGCTATTGTCTAAAAGCAGTTTTTAAGTCTTTAATTTACCGTATTTTACAGCTTTCTTAAAAGTACGGTAAGTTATGGATAGGGTACAGGTTATTTCTTAAAGCCAAACTTCGAAACAAGTTTTCTTAAAATAAAAAAGTTATTTGCATTCATTCTGCTTTTTTTCTTTAAAAATTATGCTTGTAAAAGTGATTTTAATTTTGGGATCATCATTAGCAGTGACACACACGACACCAATAGGAATCATTGTGAGCTCGCAACCGCTCGTTACACCTATTAATACTTCTGCAATCCTAGGCAACGCTACGTGAAAACAGAGTGGTTGTTCTTAGGTCTTTCTTGTAGGTTAAGGATATTAGAGCGAGAAGTCCTGTAGTGTAGATGCTAGCGCACCGAAGCACGGAAGCTTATCAAAGATGCGTCCGGCCAGAATCGAACTGTTGTCGGAAGGATTGTCTGCCGTCGAGGCCAAGGAAGGTCTCTTCAACGATGTTTGACCATTCCACCTTTCGAAGTGAAGCTTTGCAGCGTTGTAGTGAGCCTGAGAGCCAACACGCACAAACGAGTGAGTACGGCCTGAGCTGATTTGGCGGAGGCGGTACGCCTGCAGCAATCGTTTGTCGCCTCTGTAGTCGAGCGCGATCGCTTCCATGTACTCACTGTGTCGAGTCGACATTGTCTGTAAGAGCGTGAGCGCAATGTACACTAGGCACTCTGCACTGCATAATGTACGAGAGGACGAAATCACTCCTCCATTTACAATTCGCTACAGCTTAATGATCAAACGCCACGAATACGCGCAATAGATTAGTAGGTTACAGCTCGTAGGCTTATATCGTGAGCTGTTCCTGGATCAGATCCAGTCAGCCACGAAAAGGTATCGTAGTCCAGCACTCTGTCCCGTTCGCTCAGATATTCGTGCTACATCTCGTGCGGAGATGTTGACGTTTCTGTGTCCTGTACGACGACCTTTAATCCGTCTCCTCCTCTCTGCGTAGTGAGCCACGCGCGAACATGATGGATTCGTCGCCCATGGCCAGCATGTGGCGGGCCTTGACGCCGGTCTCCTCTGCAGTGTCGGCGCTGATGATGGTGGCTACGGTGAGCGCCAGTACGACAGTAACGATGCAGCTGAAGAATCTCATTGTCGCCTCTGGATTTCCAAGTGAGCGCTCGAAGTCAAAACAGGAAATGGCAGGCGTTCATCTAAGCGGACCTCGCGTCTTGTCGCACGCAGACTTGTCCAAAAGCTGAAGCGGGCTTTTTCTCTCGGACAAAAGGCGTCACTATTGTAGAATAATGACCATTTTGTTACAATTTGCAAAACTATGTTCCCGAAATGATGTCCCCAAGTGGTCGAGAGAACGGGCGCGTGCAAAGCTTGCCGTGTCCAGAAGAGTTGTTCGGATGTGGTCTCGCTGCTTAACGACCGCATGGCCGACTCCGAGCCACAAATGCCACATCCTGGCGGCGCACAACCTTCGCCATTCCATCATGGAATCCTTGTACCCAAACTGACTGTACGCAGAATCTTCCACAGTCTCATGGACAACACCCCGAGGTGTCACCCACAGCATACAAGCCGACTGAAACTGATAGCCGAATGCGGTCTACGGCTCAGCAGCTTGATAGCACCGGCTTGGTAAGCAGAACACGCAATCCTGCTTCGAACACGGCGCCATTTCCTTTGCATGATGCCGGCTCTACATTTAATGAAATTTTCCGAGTCTCCGGCACTAAAATTCTCAAACAACAACTCATTTTTGAGTGGCTGTTGTTTTGCTCAGTCAGAGTATAAATACATGTATCGACGACCGTCTGTAGGGCAACCACACGGCCTGTAAGAGCGAAGAAAGCGAGCATCGATCGGTTCATTAAGTAATGGTCTTATATTCCTAACACGCAGGGCTCGTCAACTTTTACCACACGGTACATCGACGCTCTCCCCAACGGAACGCGGTTGTTTATAAATAAGAGATCTCAGACATAAAATGCCTGATACTTGACTCCTCACACAACCTGTCGGCGCCAGGGCAACGTGGGCTTCCTGAATACGAGCGACACAGCGTCCCCCGTGCGACTACGCAAACTTGAGGCCTGCTCCGAGAACTTCTCCATATCTTTCTTGCTGTAGAATAGCTCCGGCACCTGGTCATCCGGAACCGTTGGGATGGTGCGAACTAGTACACTGCCGAAGAATGAGACGCGGCGCTTCTCGATAGCAGCCGAGTCGCCCTGGTCCTCCATTGAGGCGCTCTTGACACGGCGCACGTCGCTGCGCATAGCCAACTGATAGAAGGCAGAGACCCACTGTGCCTGATCAGCGCGGCTGAACACGCGGGCAAGCAGTTCGCGTCCGTCCATGAGGGTGAACTCGATTCCAAAGTCGTTCTTGGACGCAACCCGGCCACTAGCAAGCTCTTGTGTTTCCACAACGTTGCGGCGGTAGCTGGCGTCCTGCTTATTATGGAACACAAGCAGTTCTGTGTTGCTGAGCACGAGGAAGCGTGTGTTCCAGGACAACACGTTGCGGCTTTTGATGCGCGCATATCCCTCGCAGTAGATCCCGGACGAGACCGTCTGGTCCAGACTGAAGCGGCGGTTTTTGGCGGCAGAAGAAGGTGCAGTCATGGTGGACGCACTGATGCCGGTGTGTGTACGCCGACGCATGTTGGTGTTACTCGGGGACTGCCGGCGGGTCATATTTTGGTGCTGGAGGGGCACACCGACAATGAGGTGGGGCTGTTGGCTGTTGGCTGCTTTTGGTGAATGAAGTGGGCAGGTAACAGCAAGAATGACCAGCTGCTGATGTGCAGGTAGAAACCCTCTTCAGGCAACCGAAAAGGAATTTGACCAATAGCAGCTAGCCTTGAAGGAAGCGGAGGGACACCGAGTATTTCACCGCTTATAAAATCAAGTACATGTAATTCGCTGTAAAAGTGGAGTATCGCATAGCGGCACGCAGACGGGTCATATTCAACCCTATTCGAGCAATCCGTATCATTTCTGTGGATTACACTGATGGAAGTGTATGAGAGCTCACATGATCAAAGTCGGATTCACGGTTGAGAAAAGCTAACGGAAAAGGTTCTCATTCTGTAATAGCAAAGCCCCTTCGGAAATGGGATGCCTTCGATAGATTTTCTGGGTTTCGAATTCGAGAGAGCACCTGCATTACCAACACGGGGACCACTGCAGTAGATCAAGGAACGCTCGCTTCTACGTTTCTCTATCGATTTCGAATTACCTTAACCTGTGTGAATCACTCTCTAGCTGTGTTATCCTTATCTCTTGCATCACCGCTCGCGATCTTCCAGCTACAGCGTGTCCAGTCGGTTTCCACTAGCAGTTACTGATGACAGCCCTTATCCAACCAGCAAGGTTACATCGAAATACCTAAGAAGACGCTTGTTTGCACCGGCGGTTTTTCCTCCGGAGAAACGCGAAGTTCACGGTCGTTCTCAACGCCTAGGTTGCATTTCTTTGGTGGTCACATAACCAGAATACTTTAAAGCTTAAAATATTCACGACAAATTTGTCTACCTGGTCCGCTTATTTTTTTTTGGGAACCGTGGACTACAGACAACGACGGTGAAATCCGCCATACCATACAAATCCGCCACGAACACTTGAAGTTCAAAATAAAAGATTTGAACAATTTTTTATTTTATCCAATGATAGAGTAAATTGAATCCAACGGGTAGCATTAAACATATAGTTAAAATTTCTATCTCTGGAAATGGCGCCTCAGCGCTCCTATATATTTCTAACCAAGCGCGAAGCAATCGCGACTGGTGAGGCGTTAGGAAGCTGCCAAGCCGCATCAGAGAAACTAAATATCCCTCGCACGACTTTGCGACTGGCTAGACGATAAAGAGAACATCCAAGACTTTGCGGGTGCCCAAACCAGCAAAACCTTGACGGGCCAGGGTGCAGCGCCGTTAATACACTCTCTCACGATTTGGTAACCTTTATGAAGGATGTGCGACGGGAAGAATGGGTAAACTGTCTTCTTATTATTTTATTTTTACATTGTGACCTAAAACCGCTTGTTGCTTAGTATTTGTACAGGTTTAATGATTCAATATTTCAAAGAGCAGCAAACGCGATGGCTTCAAACGTATCTTGCTGGT